CTTTTAATTGGATCATAATTCCAATTATTCACTTAATTGATCAAAACTTTAATATTAATGTATTATAATATATTAACGCTTTTAATATGGTGTAATTTATATGTAATAAGTATAATTGTATTCGTATATTTATTTAATTAGGTTATTCAAAAATTTAACTTTTTCTATTTTAAATTTTTTTATATGTAAAATAATAGAAACTCCCCCATTATTTACATTTCACAAATATTTCATTATAGTCCAGGTTCCAAAATAGGTTATAAATAGGTTCTAAAAACAGGTTCCAAAGCAGGTTCCAAAACAGGTTCCAAACAGGTTCCAAAACAGGTTCCAAACTGGGTACCCCCTACAGGTTCCAAACAAGGTACCCTTTTTACAGGTTCCAGTTCCGGTTCCGGTTCCTCCACATGCAAGAACTGGAACCGGAACCGCACAGTAGCGGTTCCAAAAAATTGGAACCGGAACCTACCCGCACAGTGCAGGTTCTGGGTAGGTTCCGATTTCGGTTCCGGTTCTACCCGCTACCCGTGCTCACCCCGGGTATCATGCCTGCAACTATATATTAATTAATAATTCTTTGAAGTATTACTTTTGTCATCTGAGACTGGAATTTCCAAATTCCAAAATAAGTAATTTGGAGGAAGTTTTACATCAACTTTAGGCTTCACAAAGAGTTTGGTAAACTGAACCCCAACACCTAGGAGGAAATATGAGCAGAAGCGAAGCTGGTGAAAATGGAAGAAGTCACCTTGTTGAATTGGACATTAAGAGGTTTGAAGATGGCGGAAAGCATGATCTATGAAAGTCTACACATTTGACACTACTGCAACACGACTGATTCAATTTTAGCCTTATATATATATATATATATATATATACCTAAAAGGCGAATCTCATGGAGGTGTTAGGGAGTTTCATCGGCACCGAAACTTGCCGGAATCAAGAAGGAAGTCTGACGGTCTTGTGAACTATAGGTGGACGGCGAGCGACGAAGGCTAGACGACGGCCACTAAAAATGGTTGGGTTTTGTTGTAGAGATGTCATTGAGTCTAATGATTGTGTTTTTTCCCTTGAACGATGCTGGCATCCGGCGAGATTGAGTTACGATTGAACCTCAATTAATTCAACACTATTCCGACGGTCCAACCACGGCTCAATCCAGTTTGATTGAAAATGTCGGTTTTCAGAGGATACCGGACCGGAGATGCCATTGGCTACTGGTCGAATCGGTCTGACCAAATGATCCGGTCCGGTTTTTAGAACATTAATTAACACCATAATAAAATGCATATCTTTTTAAATTACTTATTTTGTGGTTGTTCAAATATGTACATATCGTCAAATAAGAACGTGCTGATTTTACGTCCAGAACTGAAAAAAAAAATATATATATATGTTTCATATTCTATTTAATCGGCATTTTGACCCGTGTGATAATAATGGTGGAAGATAATTTAATAATCATTTGGCCAATATGTTAGTAGCTAGCTAGCTGTACAAGACAACTTAATCAACGTTCCACCAATATGTTTGTAGTCGCTGAAGATAAATTAATCACCATTTGGCCAATATGTAATAGTTTATTTGGAATAAGATAAGTTTTAATTACCATCAATTTACTTTTTAATTAAATCGTTTAAAACCCAAAACCAAATGNTACTGTTGGCTTTGCAAGGTTCTGAAGTTTTTTGAAAAAAGGTTATTTGTGCAAGAGAGAAAAAACTAAAACGGAAGAGAAAAACTGACTGCAAAAGTCCCTGTATTTTCATTCAAAACAGAGAGATATATGGACATCATACAATACTGTTGCAACCACTTCACACCATATAAATAATCTTTAAAATGATACAATTTGAACTACCCTTAACAAACACAAATAGCATTGGGATTTTATTGCCTTAATCACCGGCTGTCTTCACCTAAACAATATATAAATATCACTTGACAGACAGCCCCTTTAATTCAAAAACTGGCGCCAAACCTTCAAACCAGCCATGCAAAAAGTTTCCAGCAAAATATCATTTGCTTCAACATATACATTCCCACATTATTTTAAACATTCTCAAAGTGCTGAATTTATCCCATCCAGCATCGCATTCATATTATCACTTCCTCAACATGACATCTCATTCATATAATCACTTTCTCGAGGGAGGGGTTTTCTTTGAAGCTGCTGCTTAGACTTTGACGTTAAAAATTTAAGGTAGATCATCAGTATCATGGCGTTTTACTTTCCTCTCCGCGTGAGCTCAGAGTACAGCCGACATCATGGAACGTTTGATAGGAGACTGGGTCAGTTACGGGCCTTCCGATTGAAAAGTAGCCCAAACGCACAGTATATTCAGTTTGCTACGCAACTTCTTCTCCAACGTCAATTAATAAAGTTTTTGGAAAATAATTCATTATGTTGAAAGACTTCTATCAATTTGCCGGAAACAATCTATGCTTTTAACAATTTTCTGCTTAAGTAGATTCATTTCTGTAACATTGTCAAGTTACACATTGATGGATAGTAGTATCAAGGTTTCTTTTTACTCAGTTTATGTAAAAGAAACTTAGCAGAACGACAGAATTTCATATGTAATACAGGGGAGTTATAAAATCAATAATCACAATTTAACATGACTTGCAGATGACAAGTTGCTAAACCAATTGACAAACTATTGGAGTTTTAACAGAAGGAAATTCAGTTCCTGCTAATGTTATGTTGAAGTCCGCAGCAAAAGACACAGAATCACTAAAAACATGCAGCAATAATCATCTCCCATCGTCGAACACCACCAGTACATGGTCTTTGATACTGTCATACCCGGCACTTGTGCTGCTACCATCGGCACATTTATAAACATCTGAGGTATCGCGGAGCAAGTGCTCTGTCTCCTCTGGATTCAATTCTGTATTAACCCACGAATGTTTATGCATCATTCTTAATCCATCTAATTCCATTGCTACTTCCCTCATTGTAGGCCTCTCCTCTCCCTTCACTTTTAAGCATATTTTTGCTAACTCAGCCACTTCCTTGAGCTGCTCTTCATTTCCATCGTTCACGATATAATTCTCCAGAATTTCAAATAAACAACCCTCTTGCAATGAAGTAAGAAAATACATAACCAGGCTTCTCTGCTCCTCTGGCCTGTCAAACAAAAGTGCCTTCTTTCCTGTCAATAGCTCTGCAAGGACAACACCAAAACTGTACACATCACTTTTCTCAGTCAATTGGCTAGTATGCAAATATTCAGGGTCTAAGTACCCAAGAGTTCCCTGAACCATTGTGGATAATTGAGTTTCATCAATTGGAACCAACTTTGAAGCTCCGAAATCAGACACTTTGGCTGTGAAGTTATGGTCTAAAAGTATATTGGTGGACTTGACATCTCTATGTATAATTGGAGTAGCAGCAGCTGAGTGCAAATAGGATAGCACTCCTGCTGTTTCTGCTGCTATTCTTAGACGTATTTCCCATGAAATGGTGGGTGCCTTGTCTTTATCGTGAATGTGCTCAAAGAGGGTGCCATTGCTCACGAATTCGTAAACTAGTAAAGGGACTTCAGTCTCCAAACAACAACCCAAAAGCCTGACCACATTTCTATGGTTGATTTGTGAGAGCACAACCACCTCATTAACAAATTGCTCAATTTGGCTTTCATCTATTGTTTTGGACATTTTTATGGCAACTGGGGTATTATCTGTTAAAAAACCTTTATATACTGTGCCAAAACCTCCCCGGCCAATGATTCTACTCTCATCATAGTTGTTGGTAGCTTTTTTGAGTTCTTCTGCTGTAAAGATTTTTGCTGTTTCAGAAGATCCACTTCGTTTGGAGAGTTGCTGCTGTAAAAGAAAGCCATCATTTTGCTGAAAGAACTTTTCTTTAAGTTTGATGAGCTTTCTCTTCTTCAAAACCAAGTATAGCCAAGTGCTACTCACAAGCAGAACCACAAAAAATATGCCAACACCTACATTTGAAGCATTTGAAACTGTCATGCCATACTATTGAGATGATAAACGAGAAATAAAATTGAAATATTGGAAGACATTAGCACCTTCTGATACGCTAATTATTTCATTCTGATTGTCACATAACAAAGTGGCCATTTGGAAATTCTAGCAAACGCGTTCCTCTGTTCTAGTACTAATCAAGTATACTAGTTTTAACGATTGAAGCTATACCCTATTTCCGAAAGAGTGGCTTTGAAGTCTTTTGATTTTATAGATGCTCTAAGATTTGTAAGAATAAAAACTTCCTACCTGATTTATGTATCGTCCACAAATTTAATCAAATAGAGTTAGAGCAGAGTTTCTCTTTCAGTTCAAAGTTAACGAAGGAGCAGCCAAGCTAAAGTTCAATAATACAGTTAATAGAGTTAAGGACCTTTTCTCACCTAAATAATGGTTTAATAACACTTTCTCATTCACAGACTTTTAAAACACTATTTTATTATCTAAATTTATATTCTGGCCGCGAACAGAGACTAAACTCAGTTCAGAATGTTAAAGCTTTTGAAAAGGGGAGACCGATGAGTTTTTTGGTAGTGGAATGTTGGATTTTGATGATTGAGATTGATCGGAATTTGACTTGAGAGGGACAACTGCGCGAACCCTAACTCCTCAATTGTCGGTGATTGACGGGAGTAGGGTTTGAGGAGTTTTGGTGAGTGATGATCGGGAAAGAGAATGGTGGTAGTGTGAGGGTCACAACGATATCGAAATCAGAAACAAAATATTAATTTGGGTAATAGAATGGTATTTTAGAAGCGTGGAAAAATTCATTAAGCCATTATTTGGGTAGGAAAAAGTCGTTTACTTTAATAAACTTACCCATAGCGACCTTGACGACTGGAAATTCATTGGGCGGGATGGGATTACAACCTTCCCAACCGTTTATTTCATCTCGCTCGTACCCCTCCCGGCAACTGCATGTATAACTCCCATCGTTATTTATACATGATTGACTCTCTGTACACTTATGGAGATCTGGATAGTCGCATTCATTAATGTCTGCAAATCAATGGAAGAAAAGTATGGTGTAAAAGTAAACTAAACAGAGGAATTTTATGTTTTATTTAAAAAAGAAAAAAAATACGAACATCAAAGTAGTGAATAATGTTAATTAATGTACCTTGGCAACTATTGGAAAGGTATGGATTCCCTTCGTAACCCGTTTTGCACTTGCAGCGATACCTGGAACCGTCCTCTGTAGTTTCACACTCTGTGTTTTCTTTGCATTCTTCACATTTGGCATTCCCAGTTATAGCCCAATCAAGCACCATAGGAAAGTTTTCTGTTAAATTATCAAAAATATAACTGGGTTTGAATTTGAACTTGCTTTGTTCAGCAACAAACGCATAGGTGCATCGTCTGATGTCCGGAATATTTGTCTGACTCACATTGTTAAAGCTATATGCAGTATAATTGATTCTTTTTAGCCCTTTAGGAATATCTATCTGGCAACACCCCGTGCCTGTGCAAGATCCCTCGTCCACATAGCTAATATTCTCACATAACGAAATGCACCCGGTTTTATAATTGCGATCATCGATATGACCTCGAATGTAAGCATAACTGTTACAGCCGATAACTGTGAACTTGTTTTCTGTGTTAGAGACGGTGAGGAAGTCAGGCAAGTTGTACCAGGGCGAATTGGCCTTCGTACTAGGATGGCACCTTCGTGATATGAAGCTGCTGATGTGTAGTTGACCGGTGGTTATGTTAACTTTGGTAACAGGAATATCTGATTCATTCCTATAAAGTGCTTTGGGAGGAGTGGAAGAATGGTTGCAAGCGATCAGAAAATCTTTATTTAGGGAACAATTAAGGCTTGTGCCGAATGGATATGGGATTTCAAGGTCTCCACAGAGAGCATCACAGCCAGGCTTGGATAGAGAGGATACTAGTGTTGCTGTCAGTAGCATTTCCGCCAACATGAGTTGGAAAGCCACTCCACGAAAACCCATATTTTGCAGCTGCAATTATAAATATATTTCTCTTGATACTCATCCTTTTATTATTACACAATGAGGACCAATTCAGCTCCTCCAAGTCCACGCGATATGGTCTCATTCCTCTTCTATGTGGCCGGGACACAACGAATGCCATCGAGTCAACGCTTCCTATGTATGTATAAGGGAGAACGACCTTTTCCCACCCAAGGTTTGGCGAAACAGACACTTTCACTCCCTCCAAGTTTCAAAAAGATAGTTTTCCACCAGGCGCCCGTTAACTTTAACTGAAGAAAGATAAAACGGTTTCTCACAGACCTTCGCATGCATTATATATTTGATGAGTTGAGATCATTTAATCACAATTTGGTCATCATGCATGCTAATAAATAAATAAGTGTATTTGAATTTATTAATAAGTAATTTAATGTATTTTTCATACAAAGAATACAACAATAATACCAAAATAGAAGGGAAAAATAGTATGAAATTATATATAAAATAATAAATATTTGAATTTAGAGACTTAAATAAAACATTGAAGATTTTTAGGGATTAATTTGAAGACCGGTTAACCGGTAACCAAAACCGATCCAGTTTTCGGTTTGTATTTTCTCTAAACCGAATAACTGGTTTGGTTTTTGGTTTTGCTAATCCGGTTCGGTTAACCAGATTATCCCACCTCTACTTAAAACCCAAAGCTAAATGCGTTTATATCATAATTCTATGTACAAGATTGAATAATTAAAAAATAATTAATTGTATGTGTCAAAATTTATCATTTTGACTTTAATTATGAGAATATAACATTTTGTAATTATTACAGAATATAAAGGTTGAACAAGACAAACTTGAGGATAAATTAAAATATAGGAGCATGTCCTTATGGACCAACCCGAGTATTCTCCTAGTGAAATGTGATAATGCCAACTTAACTAATTGTATGGCTGCATGGGATGGTTCTGGTGGCTGGTCATTTTTAGTTTGAATATTTAATTTAGAATGATCATTCTACCTTATACTGTTATATTAATCAATTGTCTATTAATTTAAGGGTGGAAATTAGAATTTATTAAACAAGGTGAGAACTTGCCATTTCAGAGTTGAAGCAGTGGAAGAGAAAGTTTACAATGATCAAAGCAGTGCTCAATGATGCCGAGGAGAAGCAACTGAAGTACGAGGTTGTGAAAATGTGGTTAAATTTATTTTTGTATTTGAGTTTACTAATGAGTATTTATAATTGAGTAATGTGTAATTGAAAATGTGGTTAAATTTATGTTATGTATTTGAGTTTATTAATGAGTATTGACTATTGAGGAATGCGTATTTGAGTTTATTAATAAGTAATTTAATGTATTTTTCATACAAAGAATACAACAATATTACCAAAATAAAAGAGAAAAATAGTATGAAATTATATATAAAATAATAAATATTTGAATTTAGGGACTTAAATGAAACATTGAAGACTTTTAGGGATTAATTTGAAAACCGGTTAAGCGGTAACCGAAACTAGTCCGGTTTTCGGTTTGCATTTTCTCTAAACCGAATAACCGGTTCGGTTTTGCTAATCCGGTTCGGTTAACCGGATTATCCCACCTCTACTTAAAACCCAAAACTAAATGCGTTTATATCATAATTATAAGTACAAGATTGAATAATTAAAAAATAATTAATTGTATGGGTCAAAATTTATCATTTTGATTTTAATTATGAGAATATAACATGTTGTAATTATTATAGAATATAAAGGTTGAACAAGACAAATTTGAGGATAAATTAAAATATAGGAGCATGTCCTTATGGACCAACCCGAGTAATCTCCTAGTGAAATGTGATAATGCCAACTTAACTAATTCTAGTTTAGACGTTTATAAAAAAAAAAAAAAAAAAAAAAAATTAGATTTTATAGAAATTCAATTGCAGAAGCCACCGATCATTCCTGAATCCTAATTTTTTATATTCATTCAACTCTGCTGTCACTCTCATGGAAACATAATCATTTGACTGAAACAAAATTTGGAGCACATCATTAAATATTTTTCATATTACAATTTGGAGTTCTATGATATCTCCTAAAGTTTTTACCATTGCTTTGAAACCTGGCCCGGTTGGGCCGGTTTAACCAGTTGAACAAAGACCTGAAACTTCATCAGACCAGGTTTACATTTTTCATATTCACCCAAAACCTTAGAATTTGGGATGATGATTGGTGAACAATTGAAGGCTGGGATACTAGGGTTTTTGAAGAGAAAGTTCCAGTGAGTGTAATGGTGGTGACGAAGTTGATTTCTGGTAAGTAAATCGATCGAAAATTGGAAAAAACTGGCGGCGGTGGCAGCTAGATTTTGCCGGCGATTGATGAGGCTAATAGGGGTGGCATGAAGTGGGCTTTGGTCTAGAGGAAGAGGAGAGTATTTTCGGGGTGATGGGGAAGGTTGTCGACGCCGACATCAATGAGATCTGGCTTGAAATGTCGACGCTGGCATCAGTGAGATTTGGCCGATCTTGTTTAGATTTTTAGGGGAATGGGCTCAAGGGACAATTGGGGTTGCATTTGGGGTGTCAATGCCGTCAACTAGTCATCGATCGATTTATATTTAGGGTGTGTTTGCAAAATTTTAAACTTATAGAGACTTAAGGAATTTTTAGGGGTGTATTTACTAAATTTTAAAAGCTTTTTTAAACTGGTTTGACCGCTGGTCAAACCGATCAACCTAGAACCCAACAACTTTGTTGAGTTCACTCTGGGTTGGGTTTTAAAACATTGGTTTTTACATCAAGCAACAACTTAACATTGTTTTAGAATATTGATCTCAACTTTCATTTACAAGTAACAACATCTGTACAATATTCTTATTGATGAAGAAATCCCACCAGTCGTGTGTTGACACTTTTTCACGATACTTTCATCACTTCCTTTCAGTAGCTTCTTAGAACTTGAGAAAACCTTTCTCCTTCAAGCTTTCCACAGTGTCCTGCACACTTACGTCCCAAGGCGTAAAGTTGATGCCCAAACTCTTGGCTCTCTCATTATTAACCTGGAATGATGGCTCATACTTCACAGCTTTGAATCTAAAATAATTATACTAAAACTTGTGAGTTCCAAAATAACGCGGAAATTCATATCATTCAAGGAAATTATATTGAAACATACTTTTCTGGAAGGGTGAAAGTAGGGCAATGTTGGTGCAAAACCTTCAGAACCTCAGAAAGTTGTGTAACTCTGCCGACCAACAAATATCTTCCACTAGCTGTGGGAACCTCAAGAGCTTGAATATGTGCATATGCAACATCTCTAACATCAACAAGTCTNCAAGTTATAAAGATGTTTATGATGGACAGATAGAATTACTAAATAAATAAATCTTTTCTGCTTATGACTATATGGCATTACAATAAACATGAGAAATGGTAGGGGGGTGGGCTGACAATATATTTGTTCATATTATATGATTGAAGAAATGAAATATTTTGGGGTCAGCTGATGTAGATTTTATAGAAATTCAATTGCAGAAGCCACCGACCATTCCTAAATCCTAAATTTTTATATTCATTCAACTCTGCTGTCACTCTCATGGAAACATAATCATTTGACTGAAACAAAGTTTGGAGCACATCATTACATATTTTTCATATTACAATTTGGAGTTTTGTGATATCTCCTAAAGTTTTTACCATTGCTTTTAAACCTGGCTCGGCCTGACCGGTTTAACCAATTGAACAGAGACTCGAAACTTCATCAGATCGAGTTTACATTTTTCCTATTCACCCAAAACCTTAGAATTTGGGATGATGATTGGTGAACAATTGAAGGTTGGGATACTAGGGTTTTTGAAGAGAAAGTTTCGGTGAATGCAATCGTGGTGACGAAATTGATCTCTGGTGAGTAAATTGACCGAAAATTGGAAAAAAAACTGGCGGCGGTAGCAACCGGATTTTGCCGGCAATTGGTGAGGCTAACGGGGGTGGCAAGATTTAGTTTGTCGAGCTACTAAAGAAAATGATATACAACTCAGGTTTCAATTGACACTTTTTCACAATACTTTTCATCACTTCCTTTCAGTAGCTTCTTAGAACTTGAGAAAACCTTTCTCCTTCAAGCTTTCCAGAGTGTCCTGCACACTTACGTCCCAAGGCGTAAAGTTGATGCCCAAACTCATGGCTCTCTCATTATTAACCTGGAATGATGGCTCATACTTCACGGCTTTGAATCTAAAATAAGTATACTAAAACTTATGAGTTCCAAAATAACGCGGAAATTCATATCATTCAAGGAAATTATATTGAAACATACTTTTCTCGAAGGGTGAAAGTAGGGCAATGTTGGCGCAAAACCTTCAGAATCTCAGAAAGTTGTGTAACTCTACCAACCAACAAATACCTGCCACTAGCTGTGGGAACCTCAAGAGCTTGAATATGTGCATATGCAACATCTCTAACATCAACAAGTCTGTAAGGGCTAGGGCATGATTGAGCTCCTGCATTCAAATGACCACAATTACTTTAGCGAAATTTATGTCATGGTAAAGCCATTTGTTGAATGAGAAGAGACCAGCAAGATCTTCACTCTTCGTTGAAATGGATTAGGCAACAAGGAACAGAAATCCTACCTTAGTAGAAAATGCGGCAGTTTGATGTCAGTTTCACGTTAAACTAATACAAAAAAGCATTTTTGTTTGGCTATTTAACATTCACTTTTGTGTGTGTCTGCTGTCTAATTACTTCACTCAAGGATAAATTAGAAATTTACATAAAAAATAAAAATAATGATATTCATAATACTCAAATGGTTGCTGATTATTACCATTGAAAAGGTTCAAAATCACCTCCACAGAGAAATTAAGTGATGACTGTAACAAAGGACCGATAACCAATCCCGGATGTAATGTAATCAAGTCAATCCCATTCTCTTTTGCAAATCTCCAAGCTGCCTCTTCTGCTAAGGTCTTGGAAAGATGATACCAGTACTGGAAGAAAATAAAAAAGATGAGCCAAGATGATTACCAAAAAAAATGCATTTTATGAGAAAAGGCCTGTCCCTAGAAAATATTCAGTGATTGTCATTTTTCAGATGTGGGAAAGAGATTTTCTGAATGGATTACAATAGGTAGATAGCTTGTATGAGATGCTAAAGAGAAGTTCATTGAAGAGTATAATGCTTAAAATCTGAAATAAAGAAAATTAGTGTGAAAGACATATAAGTATCAAGAAATTAGAAACTTTACACACCTTTGACTCCTTGCAAAAAGCTGGATCTGAAAACCAAGTCTCATCAACCACCACATCAGGGGTCAGAGGTTTTCCATTGAATGCAATTGAAGCTAGAGAAGCTGTTACAACAACTCTCTTGACAGACTGAACTTTTATGCATGAACTAAGAACATTAAGTGTTCCCTTTACTGCAGGATCAATAAAATCTGCCTGCAGTATATAAGAAAGAAGCAGTTGGTATTAGTAAGCAGAAAGTTTTTTATTGAACTATATTGAAAAAATAAATATATGGGATAATCATAACCTGAGGGTCATTGGTTGAAACAAATACAGGGGAAGCTGTATGGAAAACACCTTCACAGCCATCAACTGCAGAATCAAAAGATCCTTCTTCTAACAAGTTTGCCTTCAACAAATGAAGTCTTTCTTTAGCTCCATCAAGTTCATGTAAGTGCTTTATCTTAGGATCATCTGTTGCAAATGTAAATTAGAACAAGTTGATGGGTAGTTTTAGTAATTAATCAAACTAGAAGCTTTCTTCTTGATGGTGTTCAATATCAGTGTGTGTGCCATGTCAAAGCCACTTGAGTAAAACAAAAGCAACAAAAGGATAACACATATGTATTGTTGACTACTTTATGATCTAACAGCAACCTTACCAGTAAAACTACTAAACCCAGAAGTAAAACTTGGAGACATAGAACTTAAAAAGTCAAAATCATCCAAATATAGAAAAGCTGAAGTGAGAGACAGAGTGACGGTGTAACCACGTTCAAGCAACAGCTTCACTAACCATGAAGCTATGTAACCTGAAGCTCCTGTAACACACACCAATTTCCCTTCTCCACTCATTGTCTCTAAGTCTATGGGAATTTTTTGTCAAGGTAGAGATCGAGTTCTCTGGTGTGAATAGAGTCAAGCACAATGAATCCATTTATATATTTGTTAAAGTGAAATTAGAACAATGAGTAGTCACTTAATTGCATCGGGTGGCCCCGTTAGTGCCTCAAATGGAAGACTTTAAGCACAGAAATATTAAATATATACCCTGAAGTTTCACAAAGTGAAAAGTGACACGTACACTCCTTACCAAATATCTGATTATGTCTCGCATATTCTCAGTTAGGTAGACAGAGCTTTGGTACATCTTAAGTACTTGTTTGCATGTGAATTTCGCAACTTTTTTAAAAAATCTTTATTTTTTATTTACCAAGGTGTCTGGTCAGGTAGTGCGTACCTCAATTAATCTCTTGGGGTTTTGAAGTTATCGGCAGGATAAATCTCTTCAGTGGTCATCCCTATTAGTGTTTGAGGGGACTCGAATTCAGAAATTTATGTTGAACCATTTTACTTTTTTACTATCAGACCACCCAGTAGTGGTTTGCAACTGTTACTAGCTAGTCATTATATGTATTGTATTGCAGAGTACAGTGAACGGCAAAATAGATACATAATAATCTTGATTTGAGAGATTATGCAGATAAGTAAATGATTTTTATACAGCTCGGTTTTAGAATTTAACTAGCCTTTGTTTCTTTAATCGATCAGGAATGGACACAATTTATTTGCAGTTCTTTTCATCACTTTTTTCTGTAGCTTCTTAGACATTGAGGAAGCCTTTCTTCTTGAAGCATTCCACAGTGTCTCTAAGACTAGTTTCCCAAGGCATAAAATTGATACCCAAACTCTTTGCTCTCTCTTGAGAAATCTGATATGTTGTCTCATGCTTTGCAGCTTCAAATCTGCATAAGTATATTCAAACTTGTGACTCAGTTCAGGGAATCAAGCATGAAGAGCTTGTATTGTAATCTGTTCTTTTATTGCCCTACTCAGACCAAAGGACGAACAGAATTTTGTATCCAAGTAACTGAATAAAAAGACAATAAGAGTCAACATACTTTTCTGGAAGGTGCAAAGTAGGGTAATGCTCATGCAGAATCTTCAGAATCTCGCAAAGTTGTGTAACTCTTCCAATTAACAAATATCTACCGCTAGCTGCGGGTACCTCAAGCGCTTGAATATGTGCAAATGCAACATCTCTAACGTCAACAAGTCTGTAAGGGCCAGGATATGTTTGAGCTCCTGCATTCAATAAACAAGCTCAACCACTTAGATACAGTGTAAACAACTTTAGAAGGCCTCAGAAACAAATATATGGGGTCCTTTGGTTAATATAAAGCTTCAACAATCCACACCTCAAGAGCTTGAATATGTGCATATGCAACATCTCTAACATCAACAAGTCTGTAAGGGCTAGGGTATGATTGAGCTCCTGCATTCAAATGACCACAATTACTTTAGCGAAATTTATGTTATGGTAAAGCCATTTGTTGAATGAGAAGAGACCAGCAAGATCTTCACTCTTCGTTGAAATGGATTAGGCAACAAGGAACAGAAATCCTACCTTAGTAGAAAATGCGGCAGTTTGATGTCAGTTTCACGTTAAACTAATACAAAAAAGCATTTTTGTTTGGCTATTTAACATTCACTTTTGTGTGTGTCTGCTGTCTAATTACTTCACTCAAGGATAAATTAGAAATTTACATAAAAAATAAAAATAATGATATTCATAATACTCAAATGGTTGCTGATTATTACCATTGAAAAGGTTCAAAATCACCTCCACAGAGAAATTAAGTGATGACTGTAACAAGGGACCGATAACCAATCCCGGATGTAATGTAATCAAGTCAATCCCATTCTCTTTTGCAAATCTCCAAGCTGCCTCTTCTGCTAAGGTCTTGGAAAGATGATACCAGTACTGGAAGAAAACAAATTAGAGGGTCTAGAGATCTTTCTACATGTTAGGACTTTTTCAGATACAATTCATAATATATTTATCACTAGGAAATGTTGATGTCTACTACATGTAGGAGTTATGGAGAGACTATTCATATCACTAGAGATGAGAATTTTAAGATATGTTTGGAATACGTAATATTAATTCTCATATCAATAATTATTGTTTGAAATACATAAGTATCAAGAAATGGAATATTTATGTACCTGATTCCTTGACAAAAGCTGGATTTGAAAACCAAGTTCATCCACTACCACATCAGGGTCAAAGGGTTTCCATTGAATAAAACTGACGCTATAGAGATGTTATAACTACCCTTTTGACAGACTGAACTTTTGCACATGTCCTTAGAACATTAAGTGTTCCCTTCACTGCAGGATCAATCAATTTTTCCTGAAATATGCCAGAAAAAAAGTTGAAAGTAGATACCATACTCTATGCAGAAATGAAAATATACTATCAGAATCTAATCATATCTGTTAATAAAAAAGATACATGTTGAATTTCTTTTTGTTGATTTATATTCAGAAGGGAAAAAAAGGGGATCAAGTAGTATATGTGATAAACCTGAGGGTCACTGGCTGACAAAATTACAGGGGATGCTGTATGGAAAACACCTACACAGCCATCAACTGCAGAATCAAAAGATCCTTCTTCTAACAAATTTGCCTTGAACAAATGAAGTCTTTCTTTAGCTCCATCAAGTTCATGTAAGTGTTTTATCTTAGGGTCATCTGTGGCACAGCACATGTGAATAGAATCAGTACTTAACTGCTGACCTTAAATTACATTGATAAAACTAATCACACCCAAATTTAGTCCAAAGAGAGAAACCAACACTGACCAAGCACATAAAGAAGAAACAAATCAAAATGAAAACTTTTTATTTTTTCTTCATTAGTAAGTTAACTATACAAAGAGGCAAGAGAGCAACTGACTTGGGTTGCGAACGGTGGCTTTGACAGTGTAGCCATGTTCAAGTAACAGCTTCACTAACCATGATGCTATGAAACCTGAAGCTCCTGTTACACAAACCACCTTCCCTTCTCCACTCATTCTTTCTCTGTGAATTTTTGTCAAGGTGGAGATTGATTTCTCTGGTGTAAAAATGGACTTAAATGGAAAGCATTTACTTTATTATTTATTAAAATAAATACTCCACATTATACACGAGTTTCAACAAGGGACAGTTTTAGAGTTCAATTGTAACCGCATTGGATCATGGTGACAGTAGTGGCCAACTTGCATATATCAGTTAAAGAAGATTGAATAGATTTTACTTTCAAACTGGTATTCAATGCTTCATCTTTTTTTACTAAAAAAACTTCAAATTTTTATTGGAAACAAGTCTTTCTATAAAATCATTGTAACCCTCTTTGACCAAGCCAAATCAGATTTTATTATGACATCTTGTCACATTCATCTTATTTTCAGTATTTCACTGTCTAAACAGTCCTGAATCTTGATCATAATTCCTGCAAGTACTTGCGAAAGTTAGTGATTTTGATCTTTAGTGATTGATAAATGGCTTGAGGAAAGAAAACTATAGAATGGATACATCAGAATCTTTATTTAAGAGGTTGTGCTCGTAACTAAATGATCTTTATATAATTCAGGTTTCTCATTTAATTGGCTTCCGTTTGTCTGGTTGATCAGAAATGTGCACAATTTCTTTGCAATGCGTTTCGCTGCTTCTTTCAGTAACTTTTTAGACATTGAAAAAGCCTTTCTCCTTGAAGCATTCCACAGTGTCCCTAAGACTCACCTCCCAAGGCATAAAATTGATGCCCAAACTCTTTGCTCTCTCCTGGGAAATCTGGTATGTTGGCTCATACTTCGCAGCTTCCAATCTGCCATGAATAACTTAAAACTTGTGAGGTGTAAGTTTTAATGGAACCAACATGATTGAAATGCGTGGTATCAAAGTAACTGAATAGAAAGGCAAAAATACTAAACCATACTTTTCTGGAAGTTGCAGAGTAGGGTAATGCTCATGCAAAATCTTCAGAATCTCACAAAATTGTGTAACCCTTCCAACTAACAAATATCTACCGCTAGCCTCGGGAACCTCAAGAGCTTGAATATGTGCAAATGCAACATCTCTAACATCAACAATTCTATAAGGGCCAGGATATGTTTGAGCTCCTGCATTCAAATTGTTAGAAGTTGAATTTGTCTTACATCATCAAGGTGGTCGGGTGTTATATGTGGTTAGACTCCCTCCTCCCTTGAGTTAGCTTTTGGGAGTGAGTTCTACCCTAACTCCTTTATTATGGTATTATAGCCCCATTTGTTTGAGGTCATGATGGGTTTGGACCTTGGCCGTGGATGCAGAATGTAAGAGAGGGTGTTAGAAGTTGAATTTGTCCAGCATCGCCAAGTTGGTAGGTTCTTATGGTGTATATATATGGTTGGACTCGCTCCTCCCTTGAGCTAGTTTTTGGGGATGAGTTCTAATTAAGCCCATTTGTTACAAACAAATATTTGATTTTACTATTTTTGCAGTATACGGCCTAATTACTTAATCGAATATCAGTTGAAGTAGCATAAACTGAGAAGGAGTATGCAGTATACGGCCTAATCACTTAGTCGAATAGCAGTTTAAGTAGCATAAACTGGAAAGGAGTATGGTCACTACTTTTTATGAGCTAGCACTTGATGAAAATTATAAATTTGCTTAAAAAATGATTACCATTTGTGATGTCCAGAATCACCTCCAGAGACAGATTAACAGTTGAGTGTAAGAAGGGACCGATCACCAATCCTGGATGTAATGTAACCAAGTCTATCCCATTCTCTTTTGCAAATTTCCAAGAAGCCTCTTCAGCTAGGGTCTTTGAAACCAGATACCAGTTCTGGAAGAAATTCAAAATTAGACTAACCATAATGAAAGAGAAAAAGAAGTTCAGTGAATCAAGAAATTAGAACATTAATGTACTTTTAACTCCCTGCACAAAGCTGTACTTGAAAACCAAGTCTCATCCACCACCACATCAGGGGTCAGAGGATTTCCATTGAACAAAATTGAAGCTATAGAAGATGTTACTACTACTCTCTTGACAGACTGAACTTTTGCACATGACCTAAGAACATTGAGTGTTCCCTTCACCGCCGAATCAATCAATTCTGCCTGAAATATGAGAGAAAAGAAGTTGGAAGTAGCTAGTATGTAGACATTTATATTGAACTATACTAGTAGCATACTTGACTTTCTTTGTGTTGATTTAAATTGACAAGATAAAAATAAAATAAAAAAATGAAGTGTCTGTGATAAAACCTGTGGGTCATTGGCTGAGAAAGTTACAGGGGATGCTGTATGGAAAACACCTTCACATCCATCAACTGCAGAATCAAAAGACCCTTCTTCCAATAAGTTTGCCTTGAAGATATGAAGTCTTTCTTTAGTTCCATCAAGTTCATGCAAATGCTTTATCTTAGGATCATCTGTGGCACATGTAAGTACAAGCAGTTAACTGCTGAGTCTATAGTTACATTTCTAGAACTAATGATGACCCAGATTAGGTCATAGTCTCATGATTTTATGGATTTGTTTTCAGTTTCATGTAACTATCATTCGTTCAAATATACTTAGTTGAATAAATCCAAGATGTTTAATTTTAGTCTAGGCTTGTACATCACTAACCTTATAGTGGCACACACGATCTGGTTGCAAGTTTGTTTAGACACCCAATTTTAATAGTTTGGGTTCAACTTAATAGATATTGTTTGTTTTGCATTTTATTCGATCGTCTTTCAACTAGAATATGTCTACTTATTTGAGAAATATATTAACAATTTTGTAATGCGAAAATTGACACTTTGACCATTCTTTCTAATCGCAGTCTAATCAGCAAAATTAACCACCAATAATGAACCCGGAGCTAGAACTTGGAGACGTACAAATTAAAGTAAGAAGCATCCATATATAAGCTAAAGTGAGAAAGAGAGAGACTGACTTGGGTCACGAACAGTAGCTTTGACAGTGTAATTACGTTCAAGTAAAAGCTTAACCAACCATGAAGCTATGAAACCTGAAGCTCCAGTCACACACACCACCTTCCCTTCTCCACTCATTCTCTCCATCTCTCTGTGAAATTGTGTCAAGCTGCAAGAAACTCGGCTTTTCTAGTGTAGGCTTACAGCTAAATACGATGAATCAAATCTGATATTTAATCAAATACCAAGTATGGCTATGAGTGACAGATGAATTGTAACACGTGGTGCATGTCTTACATTATACACTTTCAGACTACAAATCGTAATGCATAGATATCATTATGGCATGTAAGTAAATGGCCAACTTACAGGTTTCAGTTACTATACATGGAAGACAATTTTGTTGAGAATCTAACATTAATACAACAGGTTGCTTTGATACCATGTTGAAAATCGGACGATAAAAGATAAAATAAAGAATAGCAATAAGAACACATATAAAACACACGATATTTTACATGGTTCGACATAATTTGTCTACATCCACAAATAAGAGGATTTTCACTATAATAACATGAATACGATACAAGTGTCATCACACCATCAACCTTCATTATAAGCAATTGTTGGACGCTCTAATTCTTCAGCCCAATATCTTGTTCTTATGGTGTTTAATACCCCTTGATACCCTTACATTAAAGAAAAATGCTATGGACACCGACACTTTGCACCAAATTTTTACACAGAATGACGTGTCCACTGAATCAGACGAGTCACGTATCACGTTAACAAATATTCCACGAATGAAAGGTCGTCCATCAAATATGGACGACCGTCCATTGTTATTGGACGACTGTTCATTTGAAATGGACTCCCGTCCATATTATATGGACGGCTGTCCACCTAGAATGGATGTCCGTTCATAGTCAAAACTAAAAAAATTTGATCTAAATTGTTTATGAACGCCCGTCCTCTTATGAGGACGACTGTCCATAGTTATGGACTCTCGTCCATATATTATGGACGGAAGTCCTTTTACTATGGACGGGCATCCATATTATATGGACGGACATCCATATAATTTCAGATGATATTTATTTTTAAAGTATAAAATATTTAGATGAAATAAAAGAAAAAAAAATTTGATTTTAAGTAAAAGTATGGACGCCAGTCCACTCATTTGGATGGGCGTCCATATATAATAGACGCCTTTCCAAATGAGTGGATTGGCATGGCGTCCATTCTTAAATATTTTTTTTTAATTTTCAATTTTTTTTTTTCATTTATAAACAAAATGCAAGAGAGAAATGAAAACTGGCGTCCATTCTCAATTTTTTTTTTTAATTTTCAATTTTTTTTTTCATTTATAAACAAAATGCAAGAGAGATATGAAACCTGTTTTGGGAGGCCTAAATTTTTAAACATTCTAATTGAAAATTTTAAAGAAAATTCTTTATTAAACTAAAATTTGGGTATGGACAAAAATTTAATGAAGCTTATTGAATGTAAAATTTTTTTAAATTAAACAATGGACAGGTGTCCATCTAAAAGGGAAGTATGTCCATTGAATGTAAATTTTTTTGGATAGGCTTCCATCTTATATGGACATCCGTCCATAGTAAATAGACACCCATCCATATAAGATGGATGGGCATCTATTAGTTTTTCTTTTAAAATTTTTTGGACGAGAGTCCATTAAATATGGGCAGACATCCATAAATCTTGGACGACCGTTCATTCACGAAAGACTCCAACGTAGTCGTATCTGACTGGTTGCCATGTCCTTCGGTAGAAAAATTCGGTGTAAAATTTCAGTGTCTATTTTACGTGGTTCGACATAATTTGCTTACATCCACGGATAAGAGGATTTTCACAATAATAACATGAATACGATACAAGTGTCATCACACCATCAACCTTCATTATAAGCAATCGTTGGACCCTCTAATTCTTCAGCCTAATAACTTGTTCCTATGGTGTTTAATACCCTTTGATACCCTTACATTGAAACTCTTTGTATCCTCACATTCTCTCTTTCTTTACTTCCCTCTCTCATAAGCTTGAATTGGTTCTAACTCTCCTATTTATAGGTAAAATAGAACATTCTTATTCTACTAGGATTCATATTCTTATTCTTAATAGAACTCCTCTAATTTAACTTCATTCTCCTAAACCAATTCTACTTCCTTTATTTATCTTACAATAGAAAAAAAAAAAAAAAATTATTCTCAATTAAAAATTCTTAAACTAAAAATTTGCCTAAAACTTAAATTCTATTTTCTTCTTGTTTGCCTTTTCTTTTTCAATTACCAAAAAGTGTTCACATTCCAACACTCCTCCTTGAACCTTTTTGGTAATTAATCTTCTAGGCTTATTCTTCATTCTCTTACTGCTCCTTTTTTCTACAACTTTAGCCTACCATTGGCTTCTTCTTCTTCAGCCCACTGTTGGTTTCTTCTCTCCAACACCCTTAGTGGCTTCTTCTCTCCACCCTTGGTTGGAGTCTCGATGGCTTTCTCTCATCAATCCTGTCGCCAACATTCTTGTAGACCATCACCCTGCAATTTTCGCTTCATCTTCCATAGGCCTCTTCCCCTGTAGGTCCCTTAAGAAAATAAGTTCTGATACCATGTTGAAAATCTGATGGCAATACAACCAATTACTCTGATACCATGTTGGAAATCAGAATCTGCTCTGATACCATGTTGAAAATCAAAATCTGCTCTGATACCATGTTGAAAACCTGAATATGCTCTTATACCATGTTGAAAATCGGAGGAGTAAAAAATAAAATAAAGAACAACAATAACAACACATATAAAGGCACACGTTATTTTACATGGTTCGGTATAACTTGCCTACATCCACAGACGATAGAGTTTTCACTATAATAATATGAATACGATACAAGTGTTTCATCACACTATCAACCTTCATTATAAGCGAATGTTGGACCCTCTAATTCTTCAACCGAATATGTTGTTCCTATGGTGTTTAATACCCCTGAGTACCCTTATATTAAAACCCTTTGTATCCTCACATTCTCTCTTTCTTTACTTCCCTCTCTCATAACTTTGAATTGGTTCTAACTCCCCTATTTATAGTTAAAATAGGGCATTTTTATTCTACTAGGATTTATATAGGATTTATATTTCTATTCCTAATATAACTCCTTTAATTTAACTTCATTCTCCTAAACCAATTCTACTTCCCTTATTTATCTTACAATAAATAGGAAAACTATTATTCTCAATTACAAACTCTTAAACTAAAAATTTGCCTAAAACTTAAATGCTCTTTTCTTCTTGTTTGCTTTTTCTTCTTCCTTGCCTTTTCTTCATCAATTACCAAAAAGTGTTCACATTCCAACAAATTTGCTTTGAAGTTTGAATCCTTGTTTTTAATTCTGTAAGTTTCATTAAGAATAAAATCCTTCAAATTTGACTAGAAACAAGTCATAATTTAGTATCCTCTAAGATTTCAAAATGTCTTATTGTCTTGCTGCTGGGAGAGTGGGGATTGTCAGTTACGTGAATGTTGCAGCTGCTACTGGTTGTTCCCTGTTGCTGTTAGTCATTTGCTATGAAACAAGTAGCAAGATAATTAAAATTTCGATTTGCCCAATTTGTAACCTTTGGGCAATTTGCTTTGAATCTCGATAAAAAATTATGCCAGTTGCTCCCAAAAAATATAGTTCGGATATAACTCACTTTCAAAAACTAGCTCAAAAGAGAATAGAACTCAACCACATATATATACCATAACAGTCTAACGATTTGCCACACTACGTAAGTTTATTGACTGAACTCATATGAAAGAAATAAATTAATGGATGGAATCAAATATGCAGTATTTACAGACAAAAGCATTTGGTTATTGGAGAAATATTGATATACTTCTAGTATCGAATCAAAATAAATTAAGATGGGCTTCTTTGGTGTAAAAGTAAAACTATGAACAGTCATAAAACTCCTCAAAAAGGGTTGAAGAATGTGGCATATTAGATAAAAATGGATACATAAAAACTTTAATTTGAGAGGTTCTCCACGTAACCAAATGGGTTTGTAATAGTTTATCCCTTATGAATATTCAACTGGCCCTCATTTCTATAATTGAATAAAAATGGATACAATTCCTTTGAAATGCTTTTCATTAGTTCCTTTTGGAGCATTTCAAAAATTAAGGAAGCCTTTTTCCTTTAAGCTTTCAACAGTGTCCCTAAAAGTCACCTCCAGAGGCATAAAGTTGATTCCTAAACTCTTTGTCCTGTCCTTAGAAATCTGGTAATTTGGCTCACAGTCTGCAGCTTTGAATCTGCCATAAGTAAACAAATATAGAAGTCTTAAAATTATAGTCCTTGCAAATTACCATATTATAAGTAATTAAGATTACTAATTCCAAACTATAATGGTTTGCACATCCTAAACTTGAACTTACTTTTCTGGGAGGTGCAGAGTTGGATAATGTTCTTGTAGAATCTTCAGAACCTTGCAACGTTGTGTAACTTTTCCAACTAACAAATATCTGCCACTGGCGGTGGGAACCTCGAGAGCTTGAACATGTGCATACGCAACATCTCTAACATCAACAAATCGGTAAGGTCTAGGGAATGTGTCAACTCCTGCATTGAGATAATCACTTCAGCAATAATGTATACTTGAAAACAGGACAGCAAGATCTTCCTGCAGAAAACAACTCGACCACTCTGTAACTTTAATTGTGGCAACATGATATCTGTGTCATGATTCACAGGAAGGTTACCTTTACTTGAAAATATGAAAAGACAAAGTGTAATTTTAGATATATAATAAGGAAAATGTAGGCCTCTAAACACAAATATGGGAAGATTTCATGAAAATTAGAAATTTATGTACGAAGATATAGCATGTTCATAATCCTCAAGGGTTGCTGATTATTACCCTTTATGATGTTCAGAATCACCTCCAAAGACAAATTAAGCTTTGAATGTAAGGAGGGACCAATTACAAATCCTGGATGTAATGTAACCAAGTCAATTCCATTATCTTTTGCAAATTTCCGAGCAGCCTCTTCTGCTAAGGTCTTTGAAAGTGCATACCAGTTCTGGAATAAAATCAAATTAGATTAGCCTAAATTGAACAAAAAGATGATGCAAAAAGTGTGTCGTAAGAAAGTCTGAAGTATGCAGAAGTTAGAACATTTATTTACACACCTTTGATTTCTTGCAAAAATCTGGATCTGAAAACCAAGTCTCGTCAGCCACCACATCAGGGGTAAGAGGTCTTTCATTGAAAAAAACTGAAGCCGTTGAAGAAGTTATAACGACTCTCTTGACAGACTGAACTTTTGCACATGACCTAAGCACATTAAGTGTTCCCTTAACTGCAGGATCAATCAATTCTGCCTGAAATATGGGAGAGAAAATGTTAAAGTAGCTATTATGCAGACAGTAACTGAACTGTACCATCAAAATCTAATAATTTGCACAAAACAGAAATAGAATAACTCTACCACTAATCAAATGGCTGAACAAGATTACATGCATTAAGCAAGAATCAGGAGCAAAACCATTGAAGCATGCTTAAATTTCTTTGTGTTGATGTAAATTGATGAGAGAACATTGCAAATTTACAAAGAAAGAAGGAAAAAAGAAGTATGTGGGAGAAACCTGTGGGTCATTTGTTGAAAGAAATACAGGGGAGGCTGTATGAAAAACACCTTCACATCCATCAATTGCAGAATCAAAAGATCCTTCTTCCATCAGGTTTGCCTTGAAGATATGAAGTCTTTCTGTGGCTCCATCAAGTGTATACAAGTGCTTTATATTAGGATCATCTGCGGCATACATATGTAAGTAGAACAAGTTAACGAAAGGGGAATTCCCAGGAATCCTTGATCCCCATTTTCTTTAAACCTTTTTGTTTTTTGTTTTTAATGAAACTCTGTAATCAATCGAATCTCTAAAATCTAGTATGAGTTAAGACTTCAGTATAATCTCAACCGATCTAACCAACTAAACTAACGATCCCATAATTTTTTATCACCTAAATGACCCAGATTAACAATTTTAATTTTCTTCTCTAGGTATACATGATAAAACTCCAGAAATTTTTTCTTGACGTTGCTTAGTGTCGTTTTCAGTGTCATGTGAAGGCCAGCAGTTAGCATCCACATAATCAAATCACAATCTAATTAGTAAAACTACTAAACCCAGTACCAGAACTTGGAGAGATTCAATTTAAGAGTCAAAAGAGAGAGAGAGAGAGAGAGAGAGAGAGAGAGAGACTGACTTGGGTCACGAACAGTAGATTTGACAGTGTAACCATGCTCAAGTAACAGCTTAACTAACCATGAAGCTATGAAACCTGAAGCTCCTGTGACACAAACCACCTTCCCTTCTCCACTCATTCTCTCTCTCTGAACTTCGAGTTTGAACTTTAGTGCTGAACATTTGAGCATTGAGCCATATACACAAGACAATCCATTTTTTATTATTTAATTACTTGACACGTGAAGGATGATCGGCTTATTATATTGGGCTATGCTGACCTTTTGGTTTTTTATTAAATAAAATACCTTGAGTCTTATATGGGCCACTTTAACAACACAGATAGTGCTGGCATGTAGTGGCCAAGTTTCAAGTTTCAGGCTTTCAGCAACAAAGATGGAGAACATATTGCTTTTAATGAACTTGGCTTGTTACATGTGCAAAGTTTTATTAATATGCTACAGTCTACAGTCTACAGTCTCAAGATAGATACAATATTCAACAATTCATTTCAAGAGGAAGTTCAAATAACCAAATGGGTTTATCAATAATCCCCTGATGGAAATACAGCCAACTTCTTGGCACTGATTTGTATCAGTTTCAGTAGCATTTAGAGATCGATGAAGCCCTTCTCCTTCAAAGTTTCCGTAGTGTCCATAAGACTCACTTCCCATGGCATAAAGTTGATTCCCAAACTCTTTGCTCTTTCCTTAGAAAACTGCTGTGTCGTCTCATTCTTATCCTCCCTGACATAAATAAACAGTTTCAGTTATCAATGAAATAAGCAAACACTTACAAAGTTATGTACTATATAATACTAAAACATACTCTTCTGAGAGGGGCAAAGTGGGGTAATGTTTGTGCAACATTTTCAGGATCTCAGCACGGTGTGTAACGCTTCCAAAATCTTCCAGTAGCCGTGGGAACCTCAAGAGCTTGAATAAGTACATATGCAACATCTCTAACATCAACAAGTTTATAAGGACTAGGGAGTGCTTCAGCTCCTGCATTGAAATAACCTCAACCACTTAGAAATAATCTATGTTGTGTTCATTTGAGATGGAGCACTTCATGGAAATTATAAATTTATGGTGACAAGAGATAGCCATATTCAAGAACATGTAGCATTATAACGATACTACTGACGATGTGCTAGTGACAGAATATAGCTAGCAAAGGGAGATATATCTCTTGCTGATCTTTTAGAACTTAGTGGCCAAGATCTTCCATACCAAGAGAGTTCATAAAAAGAGTGTATACTCAAACAAGGAGAATTAATGTGTAAAATAAGTATCAGGAAATTAATTTACACGGCTTTGACTTCTTGCACAGAGCTGGATTTGAAAACCAAGTCTCATCCACTACCACATCAGGGTTCAGGGGAGTTCCATTGTGTATAATTGAAGCTAGAGAAGATAATACAATAACTCTCTTGACAGACTGAACTTTTGCACATGACTTTAGAACATTAAGTGTTCCCTTCACTGCAGGATCAATCAATTCTGCCTGAAATATGAGAGAAAAGAATTTGAGAAAAGCTATTAAGCATACACTTCTATCGAATCATAGAACTAAGGAAAAATAAGGATATGGGATAAACCTGTGGATCATTGGGAGAAAGAACTACAGGGGATGCTGTATGGAAAACACCTTCACAGCCGTCGATTGCAGAATCAAAAGATCCTTCTTCTAACAAGTCTGCCTTGAACAAAAGAAGTTTTTCTTTAGCTCCTTCAAATTCATGCAAGTGTTTCACCTTGTGATCATCTGTGGCATATGAAAAGAAAGAACTAGTTAACTTATCAACCAATTGACATTTTACGTAGTCAAAACTGATTCATGACTCAGATTAATCAAAAGGGAGAAAACCATCTTTGAAACACCCTTTTATTTTCTTTAACAGATAGCTATTACCAAAGTGAAAGGAAATTAAAGCAATCAATTAACTGGCCTTGACCATTTTATTGAAAAAGTAGATCCCTGAATGTATAATCTTGGCATAAGATAAGGGCTGGGTAATGTTACCTCTAATAACATATTTAACATGATTCCTAAATACAATTTGAAGTAAAAAAAAATAAAAGTCCAAATATATTTATGGAAAAGTTGCAGGGAAATGTGTGGGAGAGAAAAAGACTAACCTGGGTCACGAACAGTAGCTTTGACAGAGTAACCACGTTCAAGAAACAGCTTAACTAACCATGAAACTATGTAACCTGAAGCTCCTGTTACATACACTACTTTCTCTTCACTCATTCTCTCTGTGAGTAGTATTTTTCAGTTCCATGAGCTTTGGTTCTGAAGAGATTTGCAGCTAAATTTATAAGAAGATATCCATTTTATTTATTTATTCATGTTATCCACGACAATCCTATAAAATAAAATCGGAGTTTGAGGTTTTGTGCTAATTACGATTTGCAGCTAAATTTATAAGATGATATCCATTTTATTTATTTATTCATGTTATCCACGACAATCCTATAAAATCAGAGTTTGAGGTTTTGTGCTAATTACGATTTGCAGCTAAATGATCAAGTGGCTTGGGTAGACTCATCCTAATCAGGATTTATTTATTTATTCATGTTATCCACGACAATCCTGATCACAATTTGCGACTAAATAATAAAGTGGCTCGGATAAAACTCACTGGCTTAGAGGCTTAAGGGAGGAGAGAGCCCAACCACTTTGAAACCATGATAAAGTGGTTTGGATAAAACTTGAACAAAATAGAGATAACAACGAGAACAAAATAACAATAAGACAAACAACAGACAGTAAACAAAGAGAAAATAACACGCGCAATTTATCACGGTTCACCGAATGTAGGCTACATCCAACTAAGCTAATATTATTGCAATACTTTCTCATCTCTCTTGTTTACAATGAATGAATTGTCTTTACAATAAATGAATTACCCTATGATTGCTATCACACTTATAACAAGAGAAAAATATGTTTATATACTAGGTTTAAAGTGACAAAACATAGTTTTACAATGATTCATATTCCTAAGCCTAAACCCAATAAGAAATTAATGACGTAAAGAAATCCTACAGTGATTATTCATAGAAAAGGCCCAAACAGCCTACGGGCCTGGGTGCGTTTCCCCCACGACCTTGATCCATTCACCGAGGAGCGAGACCCATTAATGTTGAAGTAGTCGACAACTCCAACATAACTCACTTCTAAAAGTTAATTCAAGGAAGGAGGAAACCTAACCACGTATATACACCATTACAGCCCATCAACTTGACAATTTGAGACAAATTCAACTTCAATATTATATCCAGATTAAATTTTTTATTCCTACAGTATTATTTATCACGTACGTTATGCACCAGCAGCACATTAAATTAATTTGAGTTTTGACTCTTGAGCTTTTGTTGAAAATTTGTATCTGCACATTAAAGAAAAGAATCAAGTAGAGATCAAGCAAGTCAAAGCAACAAAAGGAAGGAAAGCCAACCAAAAGAGAGAGTCGGCATATAACATGCAGTGATTGGGAGAATTTCATATGTAATACAAGGGAGTTATAAAATCAATAATCACAATATAACATGACTTGCAGATGACATGTTGCTAAACCTATTGACAAACTATTGGAGTTTTAACAGAAGGAAATTCAGTTCCTGCTAATGTTCTGATGAAGTCCGCAGCAAAAGATGCAGAATCACTAAAAACATGCACCAATAATCATCTCCCATCGTCGAACACCACCAGTACATGGTCTTTGATACTGTCATAGCCGGCACTTGTGCTGCTACCATCGGCACATTTATAAACATCTGAGGTATCACGGAGCAAGTGCTCTGTCTCCTCTGGATTCAATTCGGTATTAACCCACGAATGTTTATGCATCATTCTTAATCCATCTAATTCCATTGCTACCTCCCTCATTGTAGGCCTCTCCTCTCCCTTCACTTTTAAGCATATTTTAGCGAGCTCAGCCACCTCCTTGAGCTGCTCTTCATTTCCATCGTTCACGATATAATTCTCCAGAATTTCAAATAAACAACCCTCTTGCAATGAAGTAAGAAAATACATAACCAGGCTTCTCTGCTCCTCTGGCCTGTCAAACAAAAGTGCCTTCTTTCCTGTCAATAGCTCTGCAAGGACAACTCCAAAACTGTACACATCACTTTTCTCAGTCAGTTGGCTAGTATGCAAGTATTCAGGGTCTAAGTACCCAAGAGTTCCCTGAACCATTGTGGATAATTGAGTTTCATCAATTGGAACCAACTTTGACGCTCCGAAATCAGATACTTTGGCTGTGAAGTTATGGTCTAAAAGTATATTGGTGGACTTGACATCTCTATGTATAATTGGAGTAGCAGCAGCTGAGTGTAAATAGGATAGCACTCCTGCTGTTTCTGCTGCTATTCTTAGACGTATTTCCCATGAAATTGTGGGTGCCTTGTCTTTATCGTGAATGTGCTCAAAGAGCGTGCCATTGCTCACGAATTCGTAAACTAGTAAGGGGACTTCAGTCTCCAAACAACAACCCAAAAGCCTGACCACATTTCTATGGTTGATTTGTGAGAGCACAACCAACTCATTAACAAATTGCTCAATTTGGCTTTCATCTATTGTTTTGGACATTTTTATGGCAACTGGGGTATTATCTGTTAAAAAACCTTTATATACTGTGCCAAAACCGCCCCGGCCAATGATTCTACTCTCATCATAGTTGTTGGTAGCCTTTTTGAGATCTTCTGCAGTAAAGATTTTTGCTGTTTCGGAAGATCCACTTCGTTTGGAGAGTTGCTGCTGTAAAAGAAAGCCACCATTTTGCTGAAAGAACTTTTCTTTAAGTTTGATGAGCTTTCTGTTCTTCAAAACCAAGTAGAGCCAAGTGCTACTCACAAGCAGAACCACAAAAAATATGCCAACACCTACATTTGAAGCATTTGAAACTGTCATGCCATAATATTGAGATGATAAACGAGAAATAAAATTGAAATATTGGAAAACATTAGCACCTTCTGATACACTAATTATTTCCTTCTGATTTTCACATAACAAAGTGGCCTTTTGGAAATTCTAGCAAACGCGTTCCTCTGTTCTAGTACTAATCAAGTATACTAGTTTTAACGATTGAAGCTATACCCTATTTCCGAAAGAGTGGCTTCTAAGTCTTTTGATTTTATAGATGCTCTAAGATTTGTAAGAATAAAAACTTCCTACCTGATTTATGTATCGTCCACAAATTTAATCAAACAGAATTAGAACAGAGTTTCTCTTTCAGCTCAAAGTTAACGAAGGAGCAGCCTAGCTAAAGTTCAATAACACAGTGAATAGAGCTAAGGACTTTTTCCCATCCAAATAATAGCTTAATGACACTTCTCATCCACATACTTTTAAAATACTATTTTATTACCCAAATTTATATTCCCGTGGTGAACTGAGAGCAAACACGGTCTAATCTATTAAGGTTTTTTAAGAGAAGAGGCCAATAAGTTTTTTGGTGGTAGAAAGTTGGATTTTGATGGTTGAGATTGATCAGAATTTGACTTGGGAGAGACAACTATGCAAACCCTAATCGCTCGATTTGTCGATGATTGATGGGATTGGTAAGAGTAGGGTTTGAAAAGTTTTAGTGAGTGATGACCAGAGAAGATAATAATGGTAGTATGGGGTCGCAAAGATGCTAGAATTAAAAACAGAATGCAAATTTGAGTAATAAAATAGTCTTTTAGAAGTCGTTTACTTCAATAAACTTACCCATAGCGACCTTGTCGACTGGAAATTGATTGGGTGGGATAGGATTACAATCTTCCCCACCGTTTATTTCATCCCGCTCGTACCCCTCCTGGCAAATGCATTTAAAACCCCCTTCGTTATTTTCACATGATTGACGATTTGTACAGTTATGGCGATATGGATAGTCGCATTCATTAATGTCTGCAAATCAATGGAAGAAAAGTACAGTGTAAAAGTAAAATAAACAGAGGAATTTTATGTTTAAAAAAAAAAAAAAAAAAAAAAATACAAACATCGAAGTAGTGAATAATGTTAATTACTGTACCTTGTGTAACGACCCGATTGCTTCCCTTCGGACTCGTTCGGCCTTAGGTGCTAATCTCCCGACGATTGCCCTAAGTCAGCCTTGCTTGCTCACGCTCCTAGCCCTGCAAGTAAGAAAACACTCACACAAACTCACAAGAGATGCTAGAAGAGAACTCTTTAGTAATTGAGAGAACTTTACAATTCTTGGATGGTTTGGCCAAATGAAGGCCTCCCCCTTTTATAGTAGTTTGAGTATACAATGAACGGTCAAGATCTTTTGAGATCAACGGTGGAGATTAGCTAACTCTAAACTACCACCTACCAACTACTATCTACCAACTACCACATTAATTACAATATTCTAGCATATACAAGAGTATTCCGGAAGCTTCTAGAATGTCCGGGTGACGCACACCAAGTGTTCGATGAAATGCTTGAGAGGCGTCACACTTGGCAACTATTGGAAAGGTATGGATTCCCTTGGTAACCCGTTTCGCACTTGCAACGATACGCGGAACCATCCTCTGTAGTGTTGATACGCACTGCGTTTTCTTTGCATTCTTCACGTTCGGCATTCCCAGTTATAGCCCAATCAAGCACCATAGGAAAGTTTTCTGTTAAATTATCAAAAATATAACTGGGTTTGAATTTGAACTTGCTTTGTTCAGCAACAAACGCATAGGTGCATCGTTTGATTTCCGTAATATTAGTCTGACTCCCATTGTTAAAGCTATATGCAGTATAATTGATTTTTTTTAGCCCTTTAGGAATATCTATCTGGCAACACCCCGTGCCTGTGCAAGATCCCTCGTCCACATAGCTAATATTCTCACATAACGAAATGCACCCGGTTTCATACTTGCGATTATCGATTTGACCTCGAATGTAAGCATAACTGTTACAGCCGATAACTGTGAACTTGTTTTCCGTGTTAGAGATGGTCATGACGTCGGACCAGTTGTACCAGGGCGAATTGGCGCGCTTACTAGGATGGCACCTTCGTGATATGAAGCTGATGACGTGTAATTGACTGTTGGTTATGTTGGTAACATGAATAGCTGATTCATTCCTATAAAGTGCTTTGGGAGGAGTGGAAGAAAGGTCGCAAACGATCAGAAAATATTTATTTAGGGAACAATCAAGGCTTGTACCGAATGGATATGAGATTTTAACGTCTCCACAGAGAGCATCATCACAGCGAGGCTTGGATAGAAGGGATATTACTAGTGTTGCTGTCAGTAGCATTTCCGCCAACATGAGTTGGAAAGCCACTCCTCGAAAACCCATATTTTGCTGCTGCAATTGTAAATATATTTCTCTTGTACAGATGATACTCATCCTTTTATTATTACACAAAGAGGACCAATTCAGCTCCCCCAAGTCCACGCGATTTGGTCTCATTCCTCTTCTATGTAGTTTCTGATAAATTTTCTATTTCGTACTGCCATGTGGCCGCCATCGAGTCAAAGCTTCCTATGTATTTATAAGCGAGAACGACCTTTTCCCACCCAAGGTTTGGCGAAACGGACACTTTCACTCCCTCCAAGGGTCAAAAAGACAGTTTTCCACCCGCCGTCTGTTAACTTTAAGTGAAGAAAGATAAAACGGTAAATTCAAAAAACAGTTAAAGGGTTATTATATCATTTTATCACCTATAAACTTAAAAGAAAAAACAGAAACAATAAATCAAACCCTTTTACCCTTCTTCCCCAAAATCCTTCAACCCCAAAACCCATTGGCAATAGTGGATGATTGAATCCGATCAAACGAGATCTCAAAGTTTTACCGTTGGAAAGCTTGAAGTGTTGTTTTGAAACTTAATAAGTGGGAAAGTGTTGTTTCACCAAACTTTACATGGGAAAATGTCTTTCTCCCTATTTATAACTATAGACTTGATATAACTTATGAAGAACGAAGCATATTCAATTCAAGGTATTACTAATTTATGTACACCATGGAATATGGTCCCACGGTGTTGGGTTTTCTTTATTGAAGCTGTTGCACAGACCTTTGCATGCATTATATATTCGATGATATTCTAAGTTGTTAGTTGAGATTATTTAATCACAATTTGGCCATCATGCATGCTAATAAATAATAATTAATCTTGGAAATTTAGTAAATGCATGACCTTGTGGACCAACCCGACCCGGGTAGTAGTCTTCTTAGTGAATAGTGATTATGCCAACTTAACTACTTCTAGTTTGGACGTTTCTGATAAAAAAAAATAAGATTCCGAGGACAGTTGTGGCTCGTGATTCGTGCGCTAACATCTAATTTTTTATTCTAATATTTTGTTGCAGTTGTTTTTCTTAAATTGGTATTCCCAATTCCAGAACGTGTTGCATATATTATTTTGCAATTTGAAGGAAGTTGCCCATCAACTGGAGCAAGACTTTGGTTAAGGAAAGTTACACATCAACTTGAACGATTATGCGAGACTTTTCGTTAGAGGAAGTTGCACGTCAAGTAATTCAGCAAAACTCTGACAAGTTAAATTAACCGGAATCCCCAATAATCATATTTTAATGTGGAAGTGTGAGCAGAAGAAGCCGGTAAAATGGAAGAACTCGCTTGCTAGAATTGGTCGTTACTCATTGAGGTTTGAAGATGAGGGATTACTAATTACCAACAATGTTTTTAAACCTGACCCGAGACTTGACCTGGTCAAGGGGCCTTTCCCCTATTTATGCAGTCTAACTTGTGGTCAGACTGGTGACTTCAGTATATCTAGTAGGTTTGAAATCTAGTAAATACACTCCTGTAATGTGGGCAAGAAACCCTAGCCACTGTAATTGCAATCCATCCCAGATCATCCCCTAACCTTTTTCCAGCTGATCGATACCTCCATTTTCGTTGATTTCCAGCCTACACCGCTCACAACCTTGCATAGTCCGTCGTACGCGATCGGCCTACTCACTGGCTTCTTGCAACCTTCCTCTTCACCTCGTCCCTTCATCGTTCGGCCACCCTAAACCTAGAAGCTAGTGGAGAGGCCTCAAAATAGTAAGAACCAAATTGAATGCAGATAGTTATGTCAACAAACACAAGGTAAGGCTTGTGGCTAAAGGCTATGTTCAGATATTTGGTGTAGATTTTTCTGAAATCTTCGCACCTGTTACAAGGTTAGATACAATGAGAGTGCTGATAGCAATTGGAGCTCAAAAGGGCTAGAAGGTGTACCAGTTGGATGTTAAATCAGTCTTCCTAAATGGATTCTTGCAATAGGAGATATATGTTGAGCAGCCAGAAAGATTTATTGTAAATAAGGGACATGAAGACAAGGTGTACATGCTGAAAAAGGTTTTATATGGTCTTAAACAGGCACCAAAGGCCTGGTACAGTAGGATAGATGATCATATGCTGAATCTATGATTTGTGAAAAGTCATAGTGATTAACAAGAAGCAATGAGGAACTTGTAAAGGAGTTCAAGGCAGAGATGCCTAAGGTTTTTGAGATCACTAACCTTGACATGATGTCTTACTTTCTTGGAATGGAAGTGAAGCAATAGCAGAATGAAATCTTTATTTGCCAACATAAATATATGCAAAGGAGATTCTTAGAAAATTTCATATGGGAGGACTGCAAAGCCATAACCACTCCTAAGAATTAAAAGGAGATATTCCACAAAGATGATAAAGCTGACAAGGTTGATGAAGGGCTTTATAGAAGTCTGATTGGTGCCCAATGTATCTCATAGCAACTAGGCCTGACATAATGCATGCTGTGAGCTTATTGTCCAGGTTTATGCACTGTGCCAGTGAGATACACTTTCAGGCTGCACAAAGGATTGTTAGATATATTAGAGGCACGGTCAGCTATGGTATTAGATTCTCTCACTGCCAAAATTTTAAGTTCTAATGATTTTCTGACAGTGATTACGCAGGTTCGGTTGATGATATGAGGAGTACAACTGGATTCTGTTTCAGCTTTGATTCAGGGATGTTTTCTTGGTGCTCAAAGAAGCACGAATTAGTGGCACAAAGTATTGCAGAAGCCGAGTACGTAGCTGCTACAACAGTTGTGAATCAGGCTCTATGGATTAGGAAGGTGTTGGCAGATTTGCTTATGGAGCATAAAGAAAGCAAACGAGTGTTTGTGGATAACCAAGCTGTTATATCTATATCTAAAGAGTTTCATGCTAGGACCAAGCATTTCAAAATTAAATTTTATTTTCTGAGAGGTGTGCAAAAAGAAGAAGTACAATTGCTTCATTGCAAGACAAAAGATCAGGTTGCTCATGTTTTGACTAAGGCACTACCTAAAGCCAGATTTTAGTTCCTGAGAGAAAAGCTAGGAATCTGCAGCATCTGCTACAAGAAGGAGTGTTGAACCTGTTCCTCAAGATGCTGCAGATGTGTTGCTGACTTGGAAGTACAGAGTAGATTGATGAGGTGGCAGCTGGAGAAGAGGTGTTTTAGTTGCTGTTGGACTGAGTCAAGTTCTGAAGTTATCAAACTAGCAGTTGCTAGAAATTAGGCATTACGATTGTTAACTGCTATTCATGTAAACTTAAATGCATTTTAGCGCAAGATAAATTCTTCGTTATTGCGTAAGTCCTTGACTAAAATCTACAGGGCATTTACCGCTGGCCGGTGCATATGTGCTCAATGTAGATTTTGTTTCTTTGTCCTACTATGACTAATGAAAATAAACGGTTGATTATGAGAAAACACAGAAGGGAAATTTTACTGGTAACGAAAACTAGAGAAAACTTGGAGGGATGATATACATCAAAAAAGTAAAAATAATAAAAAAATGAAAAGCTAGCTGAAGTGAGATGTGAGAGAGATCAAGACATGGTTTTACAGTGTAACCACGTTCAAGTAACATCTTCACTAACCAAGATGCTATGTAACCTGAAGCTCCAGTTACACACACCACCTCCCTTCTCCACTCTTTTTTTTTTTTTTTTTTTTTTTCTCTATCTCTATGTGATCGAGCTTCTGCTGCGCAAAGCAGAGTTTGAGCTTTTATGCTGATAATTTGTACTAAATTCAAGATAATCCATTCTTTCTTTTGTTATGTAAAATTATTTAAGACACCATGCACAGATTTTGTGTTGAAGTTACGAAGCCAAGTACAAGTCAATCCCTTTTTACACTATTTAGGTACATACCACATTATGAACGAGCAGCTTAACATTTTGATTTTAAACAATTAAAAAAATCTCGATCTCCATTATAATTTCTGCTCGGAACATGTAATTTTTTGCCGATTTATGTCCTTGCGTCGCAGGTCAAAACCACCTACCAGGTTATCCCGTCGTTTTTGTTACGTCCCATTTTCCGTCCAGAAATACTTACCGGGATGCAATTAATCTTGTGTTTCCCGATGAAATGTTTGTGTTAGGGGAAGCCGTATTCTTAGTGGTGTCGATCTTTTTAAAAACCAGCCTAACAGCTTTTATATATTAACGAGTAATTTTAAGATTTAAATCTTTCCAAAAATAGACTTTTAGAATGTAAATATAGATTATTCTCCAAACCACGTCACGTATTATTAGGGGAGGTGTGCTGTGCACATATGGGTTTATGAATACAGAAACTATTTGTAATGCTCTGCATCACTTTCTGGACAGCAGCATCTTAGACATTAAGGAAACCCTTCTCCTTGAAGCATTCGACAGTGTCCCTAAGACTCACCTCCTCAGGCATAAAGTTGATGCCCAAACTCTTTGCTCTCTCATTGGAGATCTTGTATATTGGCTCATTCTTCACATCTCCAAACCTGCAATGAGTATCCTGTTTAATAATCTCAAATTTTCAACAGAATCCTAGAAAAAATATTGTAATACCCCTGAAACATACTTTTCAGGAAGATGGAAAGTGGGGTAATTTTCATGCAACAGCTTCAGAACCTCACTGAAATGTGTAACGTTTCCAACAAGCAAATATCTGCCATTGGCTGTGGATACCTCAAAAGCTTGCATATGTGCATATGCAACATCTCTAACATCAACAAGTCTGTAAGGGCCAGGATATGTTTGTGCTCCTGCATCCAAATAATTGATCTGAGATGATTGTTTGAACGCGCGGTGAAAATTAGAAGTTTAGTTGAAAAAGATTACCATTTATGATGTCCAGAATGACCTTTGTAGAGAAATTAACCGTTGACTGTAGGAAGGGACCAATCACCAATCCTGGATGTAATGTGACCAAGTCAATTCCATTCTCTTTTGCAAATTTCCAGGCAGCTTCTTCTGCTAAGGTCTTCGAAAGATGATACCAGTACTGAAAGAAAATCTATAGATGAGCAAAGATGAATTCCAAGAAGTGCATCTTATGAGAAAATTGTTGCATATTGACTTAAATTTGTCCAGTTAATCATTAACGACAAAACTATCTATGTTCCTCTTTAAAGCTTTCTAAGCCTTGTTTTAGCAGTCAAGAGAAAAATGTCTTTAATAGACAAAGTGTATAGAAACTTAAAAAAGATTATAATGGAAAAAGTAAGGGTTGTGCTTTTGAATAGATAGCTCTTGGATTGAATTTGGGTTGAGAATGAATAAATTTGTAACAGTTAACTAATGCAAAGGGTATGATAGTGTATTGTAATATTTGTTGTTTCTCATATAGCAAACATCGTCCATGATTGTAAAATATTTATATTGTTGAGTGTTTGTAATCTTGAGTATGAACATAATTACATCGTGCTTAAAATTCTCGATAGCTTTGGGAACATATATTTTATATTGTTTAGTTTCCACAAACTAAGTATTCGATAAATTTTTATCCTTTAGGCGTGGGAAATAAATTTTGAGGGAGCTGATTATAATAGGTAGATAGCTTGTATGCAATCCCTAAGAGGACGTTCTTAAGAAAAGCAGAATTGCTGTGTGAAAGATTCAAGAGAAAAGAAATTAGAGAATTTACGTACCTTTGACTCCTTGCAAAAAGCTGGATCTGAAAACCAAGTTTCATCAACCACTAGATCAGGGGTCAGAGGTTTTCCATTGAATGCAACTGTAGCCATTGAAGATGTGATAACAACTCTCTTGACAGACTTAACTTTTGCGCTTGATCTGAGAACTGTAAGTGTTCCCTTCAATGCAGGATCAATCAATTCTGACTAAAATATGAGAAAAAATTAATCATATACTTGTTGACCAAGATACATGGATTAAGTGAGAATCATGGAGCCAAACTATTGAACCATAGAAGTCTTGAATTTGGAAGCATCTATGTTGATATATCATAGAATTGCCAATACAAAGAGATAAGTATATAGAATAAACCTGAGGGTCATAGTTTGAGAGAAATGCAGGTGAGGCTGTATGGAAAACACCTTCACAGCCATCGACAGCAGAATCAAAAGATCCTTCTTCTAACAAGTTTGCCTTGAATAAATGAAGTCTTTCTTTGGCTCCTTCAAGTTCATGTAAGTGTTTTATCTTAAGATCATCTGTGAGTAGAAGAAACATATGTAAACTAGAACTCGGAGTCAGAAACATATAAAAGAAAAAAGGCTGAAGTGATCAGAGAGAAAGAGAGTGACTGACCTGGGTCACGAACAGTGGCTTTGACAGTGTAGCCATGTTCAAGTAAAAGCTTAACCAACCATGAAGCTATGTAACCTGAAGCTCCTGTTACACACACCACCTTACCTTCTCCACTCATTCTCTCTCTCTCTCTCTCTCTCTCTCTCTGTGTCTGTGTACGTGAAATTTGTGTTCAAGTAGAATTTGAGCTTTTGTGAAGAGGGCTTAGAGCATAAATACAAGACAATCCAATATTTTATCATTCCATCATTATACTATGAGTGATCACTTAAAATATTTTATTATTCAATCATTACTATATATATTGTGATTGATCAGTTCGTCTTAACATGTGAAGCATATATGTAAGTATCAATTACAGGGACAGCCATTTTTAGAGCATACCTTTGATTGATTCTGATGATGGCATATAGTGTCCAACTTGCTGGTTTTTGCAATTAATTAAAGATAGAAATAGAATATACAAGGAGGTCATAACAAAAATGGCCGTCCTACCTTAGGATGAACCCCGGGTTAAGACCAATAGAATCAATTAGCCTTTACAAGACTAAAGGAGGCAAAAAAAACAAGACCTCCTCCTCTTCCTACCTCAAGACACCCCTTAGGTTAGAAAACAAAAATCAAAAAGCTTATACCAGACTAAAAGAAAACAATAAAAAGACCTATTCCTACCTCAAGACATGCCTAGGTTCGGAACGAAACAAAACAAAAACAACAAAAATGTGAACCTCACCTCTTTTTTTGTCTATTTCATCATATAAAATAGGGTAAGAAAAAAAGTGCTCACAAAACCACCCAAGAAAGAATCTGCTTCAAAAAAGAACTCAGACCATAGGGCAAACTTCTCTACTTTCCTTTAAAAAAAAATAAATAAATAAATCCTTTGCTTTCAAATCTTGTTTTTGTTTAATATATATACAATCTTTTTTTTGTTTTTTGTTGGTTGCTTTGAGAGTTATCATATAAGGGAAAAAAAAATTCCATTGGAGTGAAAATGAATTTTGTCTTTATATTATTTTCTTAAATTAATTAAAGTAATTTGTCTACTATACTATGCACATAATTAGATTATGACATGAAGTCTGAAAGTTGCTCTTAATAATTTAAAAGTATGCTGATTCTTCTCTTCTGAACTTATCCAATTATATTTTTTGAGGGAATTTATTCCAACTATATTCACGGAACCTGTGCCTGTGCAAATTTGCGTATGATAAAGTAATGGCAGTTTGGATAAGCACTACATAAATCATCCTTCTCTCTCGATGTTCATATTTTTCTTACTTTACATCGTAAGTAGTTCCTCTTTTAATTTCTAATGTTAATGTACTAGCTATGTAAATTCTGCTTTGTATATATAATGAATCTTTGAAGTTCTGCTTTCAGCAGTCTTAATCTTCTGCATGGATTAGTTTATATAGATAGTTTATATGCGTAGCATCTAACCTTTTTTATCAACCATGGTTGTGGATAAAAAATTTCAACACGGTAACCCTGGATACCTGATATTTTGGCTCGTATTGCCTATCATCTTCCAACCTGCTATAAATAAAGAGTCTTATTAATATGGATGATCATCTACAAAACAAACACTTTTAAGGATGACTATAAATCCTGGCTTGACCCATCAATTAGGATCATATAACATTATGCCAAACAAACACTTTTTATTCATAATAGCAGAAACAGTTCACTTGATTGGGTTGAGGAAACATTGAATCAAGACTTTCATTAAATCCATAACAAACTTTCTCAGCTGCAAAATTTTAACAAGCAAAACCTTGGAGTTTCTAGAAACTTTCTCAGCTCCACAATACACATAATTATTGCAAAATGAGGATGGTTGGAGATTTGTAGATACAGGCAATCTGAATGTAAGTATAGGCAAAATTCAAATTCTCATAATTATCCTTAATTATGAGATTTCTCAGTTCTTTTTATTAGACAGACTTGCAATGGTCTTGCCTTCCATATATCTTTTTAGAGGGCTTTATGCTTAAGAAAGTATTGAGGTTCGTATATCCTCACAGATATTTAAAGAATACCTTTTGCAAGGTTGAGAATTGGCTCCACACTTGAACAAAGTGTTGGCTGTAAGAAGGGACCAATCACCAGTTCTGGATTTATTGCAAACAGATCGATTCCATTCTCTTGTGCAAACTTCCAGGCAGCCTCCTCAGCTAAGGTTTTGGAAAGTGCATACCAGAGCTGATAAAACCAAAAATTTTAGAATAAAATTAAAGAAGTTTCTGTGTGATGAAAAAGCTTACATTAAAATAGTTACACGAGGAATTAGCATATCTACAAACCTTTGATTTCTCACAAAAAGATGGACCTGAAAACCACGTTTCGTCAACTATAACATCAGGAGCTAGAGGTTTTCCGTTGAATGCAACTGCTGCCATAGAAGATGTTACAATCACCCTTTTGATAGATGGAACTTTAGCACAAGATCTAAGCACATTAAGTGTTCCCTTCACTGCAGGGTTAATCAACTCCTCCTGTAATATTATTTTATCAAAGAGGAAGGCAAAAAAGCAATGCTCAAAATCCAACACATAATTGGCTTCATACTGGCATTGACTGGTCTGTGAACACATGCAACCGAATTTAACTCTGGTTTAAGCAAATTCAAAATGCAAGAATAAGAACAGAGGTACCTGTGGATCAGTGACATTGCGAGAAAAAGGGGATGCTGTGTGAAAAACACCTTTACATCCTTCAACTGCAGAATCAAACGATCCTTCTTCCGTTAAGTCTGCTTTAAACAAACGAAGCCTTTCCTTAGCTCCATCAAGAGTAAGTAAGTGCTCTGTTTTCTTGGTATCCTCTGTAGCATATGTTAGGGGAATACGCTATTACATGGAGAAATTATTGGATCGACCACTTTCAGCAGTCAAAGAGTCAGAATTTGCAAGATAAATAATTTAGTTAACCCTTTTGACTTCCAATATGATTTAAGAACTTTAAACATAAAAAAATAAAATAAAATAAAACTGGGCAAATATTCGGCATCAATGAAACTGAAACTCGGCGAAAGCCATGATGCTATATAACCTGATGCCCCAGTTAAACACACTGCCTTGTTTGTTTCAGTCACACTCATCTCTTCTCTGTGATAATACAGTTTCTCTCTTGCTGAACCCTCACAAGCGTTTGTGTCTTTGTTGACAGTTTCTTCGTTGTTAAATGACTAAATGGTAGTCAACCAAATGAGTAGTCATGGTTGACCAAACGGTCATTTCATAGGACAAGTTTGGTTCATTATTTTGATACTTTTTAGAATAATATTTTGAAAAAAATTAAATTGGGCGGGTATTACTATGTAGGATTTAAAAATTAACAAAAATATCCCCTATATTTGTTTATTTACTAAACACCCCTATAATAAAATATTAAAAGTTAACAAAAACACCCCCAACCTACCCATTAAATACGGGCAGTTGGTCACCACCGTCGGAGGGTTGCTGGGTGTTTTTGCAATTTCTAAAAAAATATTTATGGGTGTTTAGTTAAACTAACAAATTTAAAGGGCTTAAAGAAATTGAATAATATAGAATAATATTTTGAGAATAAGTTAATTTTATTGTTTAACTTTATTGAGAATACTAATAATAGTATTTCCAAAAGTGTAACAAACGGAGCCATAGTCATTTGCATTCTTTGATTTCAAGAGAGAATTGTCATTTGTTGAAGGTTTTAAAATCCTTATTTTATAATAGTGAAATCCTCCTACGTTTACCTATGGAAATTAAAATCATAACTAATGCTCCCTCTTTGTAGCATTCAAGAGCAAACCATAACCACACATTTCACTTGACCATAAAGTGATCATTTGGCCAAACTTTAACCACTAATCTGTTTCGCTATCATTTAGCCACTTGGCTAAATCTCAACCACTCATTTAAAAAACACTATTTGGTCAAACCATAACTACTCATTTGTTTGACTACCATTTAATTGTTTAACTAAATCTTTGTCACTCAGTTAAAGAGTTTGGGTCAACTCACTTCTAGGGTTATATTTGGGTTTTGATAATTGTTGGATTAGACTCATTATCAAAGCCCAAGTATGACCCTAGAAGAAGTGAGTTGACCCAAGCTCTTTGAATGAGTGATGGAGACTTAGTCAAATTGCTAAATGGTAACCAAGCAAATGAGTGGTCATGGTTTGGCTAAGTAGTGCTCTTTAAATGAGTAGTGGTGATTTAGCTAAGTGGTTAAATGGTAGCCAAACAAATAAGTGGTCATAATTTAGACAAGTGATCACTTTATAACTAAGTGAAATGTGTGGCTATGATTCGTTCTTAAAAGCTAAGGGCATTGGTCATGGTTTTCAATTTCCCAGGAAAGTATAAGAGGATTTCACTCTTACAAAATACGAATTACAACACCTTACAAATGAGAATTCTCTCTTAAAATAAGAGAATACAAACTCTCTTTGCACAAAAAAAGAGAATACAAGGAAAGATGAGATAAGAAGAGGAAACAAGTGAATATGAGTTCTCAAGTTTTTTCTTTTTTTTTCTATATAATTAAAACCATAACTAATGCTCTTTATTTATAGTTTTCAAAAACAAACTATAACCACTCATTTCACTTGGTCAAATCATAACCACTAATTTGCTTGGTTATAATTTAGCCATTTGACTAAATCTCCATCACTTACTTAAAGAGAACTATCTAGCCAAACCATGACCACTTATTTGTTTGGCTACCATTTAGCCACTTGATTAAATCTGTACCACCCAGTTAAAGAACACCACTTGACCAAACCATAATCACTCATTTGTTTGGCTACCATTTAACCATCTAGCTAAATCTCCACCATTCATTTAAAGAGCAATCCCCACCACTCATTTAAAGAGTTTGGGCCAAGTCACTTCTTGAGTCATATTTGGGCTTTGATAATAAGCTTAATCCAACAACCCAGAAATTAAAATGGTTTGATTGGTTTTGCTGATGTGTCGTAACTTGACACCACTGCCTCATTGTCAACAGACACAGTTCAACTCATGGAAACATCTTCAGTTGTCCAGCAATACTACCAATTATATATTTTACTTAAAACTTTGCTCATAATAGGCATGATATTGCCTAGAATAAGACAGAGAAACACTGCTCGACTTCAAAAGTGGCCTTGATTTTCCTAAAGACAGGCTCTTGTTATGGCAAGGATAAAAGGGAATAACTTGTGACAACCAAACTGGGAGCTGTCATGCTAAGCAATGAGAATGCCCATTACACAAATTGTACTATTACTAACAAGATAATTGGTAGCATTATTCGTATAACTGAAGATGTTTCCATTGTTGCAACACAAGAGTTCTTTTTCTTCAAAAAAGTTAAAAGCATAAGTTTCAATGGACAAGACAAAAAAAGAAACGCGAATTTTGTGAGAAATCACATGCCAGATTACAGATTTTTTTTGCAGCAGGTTGGTTTCATAAGGTGCAACAAGAAATTACATGTCTGTTTGGTTTTTGAAGTAGAATTACTCATCAGGAAAAAGAACCTATGAAATTAAAATCATAACTAATGCTCCCTCTTTATAGTCTTCAACAGCAAACCATAGCCACCATTTACTAGGAAAATAAAATAAAACCATAGCCTCTTACAAAATATGGATTACAACACCTCGACAAATGACAATTCTCTCTAAAATAAAAGGATACAAACTCTCTGGCAAACAAAAGGGAATACTAGGAAGATGAGGAAGAAAGAAGAAACAAGTGAATTGAGTTCTCAAGTATTTTTTTTTTTTTTTTTTTTTTTTTGGATAATTAAAACCACAACTAATACTCTTTATATTTAGTCTTCAAAAGCAAACTACAACCACATATTTTACTTGGTCAAATCATAACCACTCATTTGTTTGGCTACAATTTAGCCAATTGGCTAAATCTCCACCACTTACTTAAAGAGAATTATCTAGCCAAACCATGACCACTTATTTGTTTTGTTACCATTTAGTCACTTGATTAAATTTGTACCACCCATTTAAAGAACACCACTTGACCAAATCATAATCATTCATTTGCTTGGCTACCATTTAGTCATTTAGCTAAATCTCCACCACTCATTTAAAGAGCTTGGGCCAATTCACTTTTTGGGTCATATTTGGGTTTTGATAACAAGCCTAATCCAACAACCAAGAAATTAAAATTGTTTGAATGATTTTGCTAATGTGTCATAACTTGACACCAGTGCCTCATTATCAATAGACAGAGTTCAGCTCATGGAAACATCTTCAGTTGTCCAGTAATACTGTCAATTATATCTTTTACTTACGAGTAATACTACATCAACAACCCTTTCTCACAAATTTTCTCTCACAACCCTGACGTGGGAGCTCACAATTGGTCAGCTTGCAATTAATTAGTGCAACCTATACAAGACCCATGTGGGACCAATTATGAACTGACCAATTATGAACTGACCAATTACGAACTGTCATGTCAAAGTTGTGAGAGAAGGTTGTTAGTGTGGTATTATTCTTTATTTAATACTTTGCTCATAATAGGCATGACTATTGCTTAGAATAGGATAGAGAAACACTGCTCGACTTCAAAAGTGGCCTTGATGGTCCTAAAGACAGGCTCTTGTTATGGCAAGGAAGGATAAAAGGGCACTGGAGCTGTCATTGCTAAGCAATGTGAATGAATGCCTAATACAAACAAATTGCACTATTATTAACAAGATAATTGGTAGCATTATTCGTATAACTGAGGATGTTTCCATCACATGCACTGAAGTAATGAATTGCAATAGGCCCTAAACCATAATGTACATTGTGCGGTCTCCATTGTTGCAACACAAGAGTTCTTTTTCTTCACAGAAAGTTAAAAGGATAAGTTTCAATGGGCAAGACAAAAAAAGAAACACGAATTTCTGTGTAGAAATCACATGCCAGAATCCAGATTACAAATTTTTTGTGGTCAGATTGGTTTCATGAGGTGCACCAAGAAATTACATGTCTGCATTTGATTTTTGAAGTAAAATTACCCATAAGGAAAAAGAATAAATGCAAATTGATTACATCACCAGTTTCAACAAAGTGATTACATATTTTTTTGATAGGTATGGACTACATCAATCGTCCATGAGAGAACTCAAAATTTATGAGCTGTGTGCTTGTGCTTCTGCTATGAAATCAGTTGAAAGCAATCAATATGGTGGGTAATTTATATTCAAAGCAGAATATAAAGAGTGATGCAAGTAGATCATAAAAGTAACAAAAGGCACAATTTGCATAGCAAGTACATAGGATGGAAAATCAAAGACAAAAATAACGATTAATTATGCTTCAAATTGTTCCTACAACGTCTAGCCACTATGTGTCCTAAATATGATAATCTTTCAGCAGTTTTATCAGCATAACCCATGTAGGTATCCCACCAGGACCTTCTGATTGCGATAACTGTGTAAGGAACAGAGATTCCTGCAACAAATCCCAAAACAGTGCTCAAGTAAAGAATCCATGTATCAGTAGAGCTATTGCT